AAACTATTTTTTAAGCTTTAAACTTTATAAATACAAATGAAAATATATTTAAGTCTATCACAAAGATTTTCAGTATTAAAAACATATGTCTCGATACCATTTGAAGGTATGCTCTAATTAGATTGTTTAGAGCCTAGGCTCTGTACAAATCGCACCCAAAGATTAAGACAATCTCATTTTCATATGGATGTGGTTTACATATACTTGCAATACTAAACTGTAAAAGTACGGTGCATTTGAAAGATCCATCGAAAAGAGTCGTTTTGATGTTGAAAAACCGTCAAGAAAACAAAAAGAAATGTCTCTCGCTCTCTATCCAAAATCTTTTGCTAAACTTAAAAATCTCTCTCTCTCTCTCCTCTTAAGGTGTGGAGCACCCCTCTATTTCTTCTGATGGGTTTACGTGGTGGTTCGATCTCTCCATCTATAAATACATATAAATAAAGAGAGAGAGACTTTTAGGTGATTTTTATCCAAAAGATTCGTGGTTCTCTAACCATGATCAGTAATTATTGACCGTGGTTCTTCGTATCAGAGGCTTCCATAGTAGATTTTAGGCACTCAAATGGGGTTTTTCAACCTTTTTAGATTGAATTTTTTATGGTTATCTCCTTCTAGTAAATGGTTGTTTCCACTGACTTTGTGGGATTGGACTCTTGGGTCCTTTTTCCAATGAGGTTATAGGGTTCTCAAAGGAAGAGGCCGAGTCTCAAGTCTAGATAGAGAAGAGAATCATGAAGAGGTTAAGATAGAGATAAAAACATTAATTTCTTTCCCTTAACAATCATGTGTACTATATAAACTTTTTTTATGATGAGACAAACCTATCTATAATTGATTAAATCTTTTTCCAAAAAAACTAGATTGTGAATTATTAAGCACTTAGATCCCATTGTTCAAAATTTGGACGTTCACTGTTGAATTTTATGATGTGATTATCTTTTATGGATTTGTGATATATTATTATTTTTAGTATGTGATTTGTATGAGGTTGCAACCTTAAACAATCAAATTAAGGGCACCTTCAAATTTTATCATAAGATGTAATTTTGGTGTCAAAAAATCTTAGGATGGCATAGAAACTATTTGTATCTCTAATTATAAAATTTTAAACTCCAAAAATGGTTCAAATCAAGTAGGTCTATAAACATATGGAAATCTTGAAAATGGATGCTCTATATAAGTTGTTGCAAGATGGACTATTTTTGGGACTCGAAATCTTCTCTCGTTTGTTTTTTCCATATTCAGACATCTTGATGTTGAGATGATCAATTAGAGGGTTTTCCAACATTAAAACAATCTTTTCTTATGGATTCTTGATGTTGAGATGATCAATTAGAGGGTTTTCCAACATTAAAACAATATTTTCTTATGGATTTTTGTGGTGCGCCTTAATTCTACATTTTAAAGTTGCAATCTTATAAAAAAACTTTCCTCTTATATATATATATATATATATATTAATTTTAGCTTGAATGAAAACACTGATAAAATTTAAAATTAACAATACATCCCTCCCTCGATTAAAACCGCATCTATGAGTATTGTTAGACACCAAAATTTGCAAATGCTCCACAACCTAATGTAGACACCCCAATCTCGCTTGGAAAGGTTATGGATAGGTCGAAATATCCCAAGCAGACTACCCGGTCATTTTTAAACCATTCAGCCCACCAATACCCCTTCTTTGTAAACCTAGCCTCCACCAGACCCCTATTGCTCAAGGTAAGACCAAGGGCGTCAAGAGGCTGAACAAGGCGAGGCAGACCTAAAGCGGCCCAACTATGAAGTACTCAAAAGGAAAGGCTTTGATGTTACCTCAACAGGCACCAAAGCCCTACCCAAACTCCGACAACAATGTACCAGAAGCACCAAAATCATAGTAGAGGCGACCCAGGGCACCAAAGGCCTGGCACCACTCGCAATAGCGCCAACGCCATTCCCAATAGAGCCAAGTCCTGAACCCCCATATCCAAGCCACAATGGGATCCACTTTTGAGCTGCTATAGGATCAAGATGTCTAGCGGCAGAGCCAATGCCACCAACGCCATTTCCAATAGCAGTAGGTCCCAAGATCTTCATCGGGAAAGACCTGGCCGATGTGATTGAAGTGACGAGTTGACATGTCAGTCCGTACCCATCGTCATGGCAGGTCCGTACTGACATGTCAGCTGTCAGTACGGAGCCAGGTTGTCAATTTCTTATTAGATAATGATCTGATGCAAGTACAACCAAGACAACTGGTACCTAGCGATAGTCGAAATGTCGTCGGCACTAGTTGGAACCGCTTCAAACTGTGATTGATCAAATTAGAGCTATCAAAACACTACATGTATCCTAAACAGTGTCGGATGGCTGTCGGAATGCGGCCGGCGCTATTGCCCATGGTGCTAGAATCTGACAGGTTGTACAGAACCTACATTAATGAACAATTAATATCAAATGACCATCATTATTGCATCATTAATGACATAACATCATTCCAACCAGGGTCAGCGCCAATCCAAATAGCATCAAAGCTCTAATGGCCCAAAAACTCACACAAAGCTAGATACAGGCTGTCATGGGTTCATTTCACCTATAAAAAACCTATTTTTCCTCAAGAAAAAGGTCTAAGTTCACTTGATCTTGTGCTTAGATTATGCCCAAAAATCTCTTAATCTTAAGTCTAAGCTTGAGCTCGAGAGAAGACCCCCTTTGAGCAAACCCCCATCCTACCAAACCCTTCAATCCAAAGCTACAAATACAAACTCCTTCAAGCCACACTTTAAACCGAAGGCGGTTCAGATAATCAAACCTTCTGGGACCCCTTCTTCTTATTTTTATGGCCTTGTTAAGAACCAATAAAGTTCGAGTTGATTGTGCAACTTACTATTTGAATCAGTGCTGACTCTAGGCGTTAGGCCTGGGGGCTGGCCTACATGCCGTTTCTCCTCTCGTTTCTCCTTTTTATTTGTTTTCCTAATATTTATTTTCATGCATCATTTGTATTTATTATTTCTTTCATCTTATTCTTTATTTCTTAATGTAGTTCCATTTTTCCTCTATTCATGCACTTTGTATCTATTTTTTTGAGCTAGATTTGTTTGTTTTCCTTTATTTTATCTCATTTTGACATTTTATGCTCCTTTATTTAATACTGCATTTATTGTATTATGTTAGTTATATTTAATCTCTTCTTCCTTGTTCTATCTCCTTTATTATATGATTATTTTTCTTTTTTAGGTTTGCATTTATTTCTCTTGATTGGTTATATTTATTTCCTTTTTTTTATCCCTTCATCCATAAGATCTTTTCCCTTTAAGATGATGTGTTTTCACTCCTCTTGAGTGGGTATTTATTTTTCTTCTTTGTTTCCTTCATACAGTGATGTAGATCTCTCTCTCCTTCACTTTCTTTTTCATTAAATAATGGTTCTTTTTCCTTTTAAAAGAATATTTTTTTTAGTTTTTATATTTATGTCTCTTCTTTGTTTCTCTTCTTTTGATAGTATAGATTCTCTTTCTTGTTCTTAATCACTCACTTACTCTATTTTGTAATAATATTTTCTTTTCTTATTATATCTATTTCTTTTGATCGGTTACGTTTATTCCTCTTTCTCCTCTCTTTCATTCAATAATGTAGATTTTCTCCATCATTCTCATTCTCTATCTGCTTTTAATACTTATTTTCTCTTTTCCTTTAAATTTTATTCAATATCTTAGCCTTTCTTCTACCCTCGATATATATATTTTTCTTATTCTTCACTATCTCCTAGTGGGGGTATGTATATATTTTTACCTTTCTCTTCCCTCCTCAATATATTTTCTTTTCTTGTTCTTCACTATCTCCTAGTGGGGTTATGTATATAGCTTTACCTGTATCTTTCCTCCTTTAATGAATCAATCTTTACTCTTCTCTATCTCTTTCGCCTTAACCCTCTTTCTTATGCTCTCTCCTTTTATTTATTTATTTTATTTAGTTTTATTACTTTTGTTACATGTCATTTATTAGCATTAGCTATCTTTTACCTTTTTCTTTTCAATTTTACTTCTCATGTTGCATTATTATCTTTATTCACATTTCATACTCCTATCCCTCTGTCTTGAAGATGAGGATCTCATCATTTTCCTTCTTTGAAATCACATACATATTTCTACACTCTTATCTCTGACTTTTATCATATGTCATGTATGCTTAGATTAGTTTTATATCCCTATCTCCATGCTTCTTAATTTTTTATTTTTTTTACGTTTAATTGTTAGATTTTTTATTCCTGTTTATTTGTATCTCCATAGCTTAGTCAATTATTTATGATTCTCTTCTTTTGTTCTCTTTCTAAATCTATTTTCTTAAAAACTTTCTTTTATCTACAAAGCCCTTTCAAAATCTTCTTGGTTGAGTTCTTAGATTAAGATAGTAGGGAAGTCGACTTTGTCAGCAATCCGAGAGGGATAAGGTCTTAGGATCCGATTCCCCCTCGACTCTACCAACTTATCGATTTGTTTGCACCTTAAATCAAGGTGGGAGCGTAGTCCCCTACCCGTAATTTCGAGTATAAATACCTAGATGCAGACCATGCAAAAAGAAAACCTAATATTGATTAGAGACCATGCAATATTTTTGGACAATTAGATCTAATAACTAAAAATTCATACATTATTCAAGAACTTAAAATTCGTTCTCTTTTTTTAAAATTGACCATGATGTTTCTATTCTGAATTCCAATCTTAAAGTTAGAAAAAGATCATCTTAAATTAAGTTTTATGTCTAAGGGAATAAAGTTGCTCCAACGAGAGTAAAACCAAAGGCACTCATGGAGAGATGGAATACTAATAGGAGTATTAATTCTACCAAAGTTGTGTTGATTCCTAAGAAGGATGTCATTTCATCTATCTTTGATGTGCCTCCATTAGCTTGCTCAATAGCTTATATAAAATCATTGCTAAATTCCTCGTTGAAAGCTTTAAATTGGTGATCACCTTCATCATTAAGGGTCCATAGATAAAATTATTACAGCTAGTGTTTTTGTTGTCCAAGAATGCATCCATTCAATATCGTTGCAAGGTGAGTCAGGTATTCTAATGAAACTTGACATGAAAAAAGCTTATGATAGAGTGAAGTGGCAAATTTTGATGGAGATTATGAAGCAAATGGTTTCGGGACTAAATGGAGAAGGTGAATTTGGGGTTGTCTTGTTAGCACCTATTACTCGATTCTTGTTAATGGTATAGATATTGAAGATCTTGCATTTATTTGTTATATATAATAAATGTATATTTCATAAGAAGTTACTCATTGTATTTTATCTTGCTATTCAAGTTAAGTTGCGGTGCAAGTTATCTCTGGTTATATTATATATACATGTTAATAATGGTCAATAGAGACAAGTTTCCTTTACCTCTTTGTGTGTTTGACATGGTATCAGATAGTCACAAATCGATTCCACCCATTGTTTAGGTTTATTTTACTTAAGATTAATTATTCTTTGATTAATTCATTTGTCACATTTCTTGTTCTTGTAGAGGATTGGAGTTCTTTTTTTATTGTGTACTTGATCACTACTTTCTTCAGAAAATCAGAGTTCGTTCTTCGGTCAATGAGAAGTTTTTTTTTTTTTTTTTTCAGTGAATCAGATATTCCTCCAGCCAATCAGGTTATTTTTCTCATAAATCAGTCTTTGTTTTTTATTACAATAATCTCTGTCTACCATTGCTTCTCTCCGCTCTTTTCTTTTTTATCTCAATTGTTATTTCTATCTCTCCCCATTACTTTCACGCCATTATCCTTAGGCAACTCTACATCCCAACTCTTTGCTTACAGATTAAAGCTTCTAACCCATACGTGGCAAGTTTTATTCTTTAAAGACATCAAAATTTTTATCATGAGTAGATCGAGAACTGGAAACCCAATAATTCAGAGACCCAGCCACTAAAAACCTTAGAATTTTAGAGACCACCAATAACCTTAAAAATCTAGATACCAAACCAAAAAGCCCTAGCAATTCCCACACACCAAGAACCCTTGATTGAGAAACTAAACTAACAAAAACCTAGACCTGAAATTACAATTGTTTTTGCAACTTTCGTTCATTTGCAAACTTTACGCCTAAATGTTGTAAATAAAATTCTGTTTTATTGCAAACTTTGCAAATAAAATTCCCTTCCTTTGGTTCCTTGATCACGTCCCTTTGCAAATTTCATCCCTTGGCCAATTCCTCCTTTTGGGTTCTTTGATCACATCCCTTTGTAAATTTTTGTTTCTTTCTTTCTCTCTCTTTCATTGAAGGATCTGGTATTTTGTTGCTTTTTCTTTTTTGGTTCCTTTGGTTTTTTTATTTGAATCCTTTTTTTTTTCTTTGTTGCTTCCTTTGGTTAATTGATTCTCTCTCTAACTTCTTTTGCTCCTTCTTCACTTTGTCTTTCTTAAAAAAAAAAAAAATACTCATATGAGTTTTGATCTCTGATCCAAGTTCTTGATCACGTCTGAGAGTGCTCATACAATTTGAACTTGTTTCTAAAAAAATAGATGTCATGGCCATAAAACTTTATGATAAAAACTACCTTGAGTGGCAGTTTCAATTTCAGTTTTTTGTTGAAGAAAAAGATTTGTGGGTTTATTGAGGGAATTGAGCCTCAACCTTATCCATCAAATACTAAAGAAACCCAGCAATAGAAAATCCACAATACAAAAATTGTTTCATGGATCCTCGGCTCCGTGGATATGGACATTGGAAGACCAATGAGAAGTTTTCGCACTGCGAAAGAAATGTGGGAATATCTGGAAACGGTTCATCAGTAATCAAATCTTGCACGATGATTCCGAACCTAATATGATATATTTACCGATGGACAGGGGGAGAAAACATTTAGGAATATTATACTGGTTTTATGAACATGTGGACAGAATATGAATATGTAAGTATAACAGTTGTCACTAGTGCTAGTTGTATTACAAGTTTAAAAGCGATAAATGATGGCAGGAAGGTGATGCAGTTCCTAATGAAGTTGCGCTCAAAATATGAGATCATTCGAGCCGATTTTTTGAATCGCGAAACATTGCCCAATATGGCTGCCATTATAGGTAAGATACTTCATGAGGAG